GTTCCTCTCTCAAGCATGACAGGTGAACGCGTCCCTCTCTCAAGCACGACAGTTGAACGCGTTCCTCTCTCAAGAGCAGTTGAACGCGTCCCTCTCTCAAGCACGACAGTTGAACGCGTCCCTCTCAAGCACGGCAGTTGAACGCGTCCTCTCTCAAGCACGACAGTTGAACGCGTCCTCTCAACGGCCGCGCGCAGTTGACACGGCAGTTGAACGCGTCCCTCTCAAGCACGACAGTCTGAACGCGTCCCTCTCTCAAGCACGACAGTTGACCGTCCCTCTCTCAAGCACGGCAGTTGAACGCGTCCTCTCTCTCAAGCACGACAGTTGAACGCGTCCTCTCTCAAGCACGGCAGTTGAACGCGTCCTCTCTCAAGCACGACAGTTGACTCGTCCCTCTCTCAAGCACGGCAGTTGAACGGGTCCCTCTCTCAAGCACGGCAGTTGAACGCGTCCCTCTCTCAAGCACGGCAGTTGAACGGGTCCCTCTCTCAAGCACGGCAGTTGAACGCGTCCCTCTCTCAAGCACGGCAGTTGAACGCGTCCCTCTCTCAAGCACGGGGCCATATTAGCTCGCAGTACGCAACACACCCCCTTCCTCCTCCTACGTCTTTTTCCTATACAAAAACTACTCTTAAAATATCGCTGAGTGTTGCGGCCAGACTTGCCGAGGACGATATTAATGCCCATACGCCCACCTCTTGCCCACACGCCCACACCCTTGCCCAACCTAGCCCACACGTTCATCTTTTCCCCACTCGCCCACCCCCTTACCCACCTCTTGCACACACCCCTTGCCCATTCGTCCACCTCCTGCCTATCCCTTTGCCCACCCCCACCACTACAGGCTCGTCACAGGGGGTGTGTGGGGGGCAGGTTGATACACAAACAATATCGCACGCACTCACTCGCCCCAGCCTGCCCTAGCGGACGTTGAACCTGCCTCTCCCTCCCTCTCTCACTCCCCCACTGCTTCTCTCTCTCTCTCTCATTGCCTCTCTCACTCCCTCACTGCTTCTCTCTCTCTCTCTCATTGCCTCTCACTCTCTCACTGCTTCTTTCCCTCCCTCCCTCGCTGCTTCTCTCCCTCGCTGCTTCTCTCCCTCACTGCTTCTCTCTCTCTCCCTCCCCTGCACTGTTTTCCTCCCTCTCTCCCTCATTTCTTCTCCCTGTTTCCCTCCCTTCCTACCTGCTTCTCTCCATCCCTTACTCCCTCCCTCCCTGTCCATGCTTGAGACTCATCGGTCACATTGTGCTTGGTAATGCTTGCGCTCTTGGGGGTCGGAGGTGGGGGAGGGCGTGGGAGGTGGCGGCTGAGAGGGGGGTCTGGCAAGGAGGGAGGGGGGTGATGGGGAACGAGGGTGGGAAGGGGAGATGGGGGAGGAAGTGATGGGGAGAGAGGGAGGGAAGGGGAGAGGGGGGGAGGAAGTGATGGGGAGAGAGGGAGGGAGGGAGGAGGTGATGGGGAACGAGGGAGGAGGTGATTGGGGAGAGAGAGAGAGAGAGTAGGGGGGGAGGATGAGAGTTATGGATACAATATGACTTGGCAAGGTGGGTGAGGATGTGATCACCCGCCCAAAATGTCTTCCTTGTGTATAGTTCTGGATAAAACCACAATAATTCGCCGCTCTCGTAAACACACTAAGATTATTATTTTTTTTTTCATCTTGTGTGAATCAATAAATCTTAGGCATCTCTAAATCAAAAGAGAATATCGTCCATTTACGAAAATACTTGAGAATTCGTCAAAAATAATGGTCATCATTTACTGTCTAAAATACTAGTCCGTTCAAGATTAACAATTTCGTATCTAAGGTGAACTATTGAACTTCACTCAAGCTTAAAAATGTATCACCTGTTTATCAGAATGATTAAAAATTATCGAAATTAATGGCTATTAGTTTATGTAAGTAAATAATACATTTAGATCAATATTTTTGGTGCTTCAGTGAACGTTAAAAAATTATCACCCATTTCTATAAACATAAAAAATCCGTGAAATTAATAGCTATTAATTGGTACTTATAAAAATATAATTAGAGCAATTTTTGTGAATTAAAAAAAGTAACTGAAATTAATGGTTGTGTATAACTGCGAGTAAATGTTAATGGGAAATAAAACAAGACTCATATTCTATCTAAATTTGCTTGTGCAGTAGATAACCTTATATTATACTGTATGTTTACGGATTCATCCACTCTCTGGAATTACCTCAGAGGCTCGGTGTTGTGAATGTATTTTGACAAGCGCCGGACCATGGCCATGTGACGGGTTCATTTTCACTAACACGGGAGGCCAGTCAGAGTGAAGGCGTAGAACCATAATCCTGGTTCTCAGAGGTTCTGAGACGGAGGGGTGTGAAGGCGGTAATGTAAATATGGGTTATGAGACTCAAAGGTTCATATAATAAATATTTCTTGCCGTTGATGATGTAAGGATAAGACTTAACTACGTGTCAACCTAAAAGTCAAAGAGAACGGACAAAAATAGCGTAAACATTACACTGGGACTCGGCCTCGGCTAGATACGTTGCTGCAGTTAGAAGTATACTCTACCTTTATTTTGTCTTCCAGCTGGTGCTAAGTGAACATATTTAACAAAGTATAGTACAGTCTTACTTTAATTCCTGGCGGTGAGGTTGTTGATTTTATATATATATATATATATATATATATATATATATATATATATATATATATATATATATATATATATATATATATATATATATATATATATATATATATATATATATATATATTGAATAAAAAAATATGGAATATGGCCCGCCGGCATATAGAGGAAGCACCCGTGAATTACATAAAGGATATTTAAGTAATCAATAATAATGTGAAATGTGTGAACTCAAGCAGCTCTCCCGGGCGAGGCGACCTGCACGCTTATCGCCCACAATTTTCAAGATGCTATTATTTAAAATACTTGAGCCAGCTCACTGGAGATGTTAATCTTGACACAAAATTTACAAGCAATTTGAATGTTAATAAGTTTTAGTGAGATAATGGAAGCAGTGCAGGTTAATTCACAACGTTTTGTAGGTTATAAACATCTTTATTGAGAAATTATGAGAGGATTCGTGTCTGGATGGATAGTAGAGTGGCCGTGCTTAGGACTAGATGATAACGTCACTATCTTAAGAATATAGACCACTCTTAATTATATAATGGGCGATAGGAGAGGTAGTGTGTGTGACTATGAAACAAGAAGTCTGTATGGTAAAGTGATTGCACAGCGACCGTTGTAGTGGAGGGTGATATTCAAGACACCATTTACCCCTAGTAATCCTCCGACCGTAGAGGAAACGTGGTTACGATAATTATATCAACGGTAAGAGTAACAACACCCCTAGTAAGAGCCCTGCCACATGCTCTGTCGAGGAGGAATAATATTTTATTTCAGCAGTTCCACCCTCGCCCACGAGTACAGGAGGGGTGGCGAGGAGCAAGAAAGGTGGGTGCGGCATGAGGGGGGCTTGTTGTGGAGTATCGGCGGCATAGCCTCACGCCCAGCCCTGCGCCCTGCCTTGCATTCTCCTGGAGGTAGCAGTTTTTGTGGAACCTAGCGCGGCCAACCCGGCTCCTCGCACCAACAAAACCTCCCCGTGGATACAGTTTTGGGCGTTCACATCACGTTGCAACACCAATATTTTGTGATTATACGTACGTCTCCACTTATTCCTCTTGTATATTTGTCTTATCTCATCACAAAAATATATATGAATCAATTGACATAATACAATTTTGTATTTAAATGAGTTTAAAATAAAAATACGTAGATGCTTTCACCGCGTTACTTGTGCGCCACCCTGTATGAAGGCTTCTAGGCCAGGGTGTATGTCTGCCATATCATGCAGAGCCCAACGAAAGCACGTCTCTTTTTTTATCCGTCGTTAGCGTCAGGTTTTCGGATTTTTTTTCTTTATTATCGCTTCATAAACATCTCCACATGTGCGTGTATTAAACAAAATTCTTGTATATATTCAGGAAAGACCAGCAATTGAGATATTGCATAAAACGTTAAGGAGTGCCGGCTATATGGCAACACCCACTAGGCCAAGCTAACGGGGAAGATCTTGCAAAAACTAGCTATCCTGGCTGTCTGACTCGTGTTTTTCTAATTTATTTTTTTTATTCTAGAAATACACACAATTCTTGCTATCCTTGAGGGTTATCAGCACAATTTGTAGGTAGCATCGATTTTGAAGTGCTTAGGCCTAAGGGTAATTGAAAATACAAGGGTGGTTGTGATCATATGGTGGGAGGAGCTGAGTGCAAGAAGTGAGGTTCAACTTCTCGATGGACAAGCTTTTGCCGGTTGAAGAACGTCTGCGCTTTTTTAAGCACCTAATTTATATTCAAGGTCCGTATAAGCTGCTTTCATTGATGCCTTCGTCTATAGAAATCACGCTCCCGTAATAAAAATAATAATTACAAGTCTAATGATATAGGGTTGTGAGCAAGAATATATAGGGTGCTAATTAATTATTCATGTGCACACGCAAGTTGAGACCTACGACTTCTCATGCCCGCATTACGCCTTCCATGCTACAACGACGTATATAGCATGACGCGTCTCGCCCACAAATAATTTATCATTACTCCCTTATAACATAATTTGTATGAAAAATAATAATAAAATAGAAAATAAACTAGCCATTATTACAGTTGGAAATGTTTAGAAACTGGATGAAATAATAATGGTGGGTTAGGGTGGCGCACTGCACGGTAGAACCATCGGCTCAGTCCTAGAGGCTGGAGGAGACAAGCTGCCAAGAGCACGGCGCAGAGGAGCACGAAGCTTGCGTAAGTTTCGTGCGATTTTTCCTGTTATTCGTCATGTTGATCATTATAATATGTTGAATCGTCAATGAGAAAGTATATAGCATCGCATGATCAGTGAATTGTGACATTAGAAACGTTGTACGGGTTTAAAATGAGCGTTTGAAAGTGGAATGGAGAATGTTTTGGGTTGTCTGTCCGCCATCTTGGGCGTTTGAAGGAGCGGTGGCGGGCTGGGCTGCGCGTCTTGCATGTCAAAAGGGCGGCGCCGACCCCCGCGACGAGTGCCACGCTGGGCATCTGCTATGGGCACCGTGCCCTTCGCTGCCGTCGGTAAGATTCTGGTGCAGATGGACCCGGGGAAACATTGTGTTTAATACACTTGAAGTTTAAGGAAAGTGTTATGCAATGATTGGTGACTTATTTTGGTATTTGTGGTGATGAGAGGTTTACCCCGGTCATTTTGGCTCCCGTGGCCGAGGGTGAATCATCGCAGTGACGACTCCGAGGATGACAAGCGCGTAGTGGTGGTGATAACTTTGTAGGTGTAGTGTAATGAAGTATGCTTGAGGGAGGCGTTGTAGGCCTACTATACGTGTGCTGCCACCCACCCAATCACACCCTCCCACCCACCCAATCACACCCTCCCACCCACTACTCGCCAACACACTCCTCCACTACGGTACACTAATGTTTATCACAATTTTATCATAAATCTCTCGTGATGATACAATATATCCACCAAAAAGTTATAACTTAGTAACTTTGGTAGACCTACAGTACTGTGGTTGGGTTTCTTTGTTTCTCTGTTGACACAGTTAGTGGCCAACACGGGTACTGCGGCCTGGACCAGTACAACAGGGTGGGGAGTTACTCACTTTATGTGTAATTAGTGAGTTTTGACACTTGTTTGGGGTAGTTTTTTTGTGGCCTCCCAGGGACCCAGTCAGGTCATGTGATTGACTAACGTTTGTAGGTTAGTTTAGTTTCACATGTTTCAGTTTGGCAGAGGCTACATGATAGTTGATGTACACATTGCATGATTGCAGAATGTGTTGAGCGGTGTACCAACAGACATGTTTATTGAGCACTGAATTTTTGTTGAGACAGTGGAACCAGAGGTGACATAATACTCATAAATTGAAATTAATATATTTTGACGATCTGGGGGAGTGTAGAACGTTTGGAATAATGTGAATGTGGTGGTCAGTGTTCGTTCAAGAAATGTGAAATGTTCTCGCTACCAGATTCCACACTGTAGGTGTTGAGCCATATTAGAATAATGTTTGTTTAATAGTGGCACATGTACCATTCTGCAGTGCTCACCCTATAACACAACCTAAACCTGTCTTATTTAAAAAAAAAATCAAGAATGAAATGTCACAACCAGTTTTCAATTTCATGAACTAGAGTTACAAAATTTTTCAGTTCTGTTGTTTTTGGTGAAAGAGGAATTGCAAAATGGCACCATTGCTGTTTTAAAGCTACCCAGTTGAAGGAACAGTATTTGTGTCACAAATCCATAAGTGCTAGCAAACTTTATTAATAACTAATATGAGGTTACAGACGAGTTCGACCAGGTTTTTAATGGTTTTTGAAATGTGTATCGTGGTACTGTACAGTATTGGTAAATTTAGGTCATGGCAAGAAAATTTTGTGCACTAAAACCTCTATGACTGAACTGCTTTGTGAAGTGCAAAGTGTACTGTACTGTACTTGGTAATAGTTTACATACTGTTATGTAACAAGAGTTTTGTTTTAAAAAGAATTGTACAGTATTACAGTACCTAATTAGGACAATATAAATTGATACAATGCATAAAGTGTCATATGATGTATCCATCTTGGCTGCTGCAATATCATCCAGTTGTTGTAAAACCAGCAGTTGAACCTACTGTAATTATATCTCACAAAACAAGAATATTTTTCTATGCCAGCTTTAATTGTTTAGTTTAGTATAGCAAAGTTTAAAGTTTAATTTAAAAAGTAAACTATTTTCATTTAGTTGTTCTTTTAGGATATGTATACAGTAATTGGCCATGTTATAAATTACCATTTACAGTACTAATGTGTATGGAAAAGTTACTACAAGGCCAAATGGTAATTTTTTTATTCATTTTTTTAAATATGAAACCGTATTAAAGTTTTGAGACCTTTATATATCAATAACATTTACAATAAGTACTCCTTAATACTGCTCATAAAGATATTTAAGAGATTTGCCAGGAGCTTAGAAACATGATGTAAAGATATTCATTCGTGTTGAGTACAGTACCAGACTGATGAACACGTGTCAAACACTTCAACCCTACAGTATAGTGTACTGTAACTAATATATTTCACCAGTACCTTAACATTCATGTAAAATTGTTAACCTTACACTATAATGGTGTACTGTACTTAAAATTTTTGAATTTGTGTTTTCTTGTGAAACACTTTAGTACCTGTACGCAGCGGTTCCCAACCTTTTTTGGCTGCGACCCTAAATTTCCCAAACAATACGGTGTCGTGACCCTTAGGCATATAATATATTATATAGCTTGAATGTTAAGCAAAAATTTTTTTGACTATGATAAGTACTATATTTTTAAAATTGTCTGAGGGCTCCTCGCGACCCAACTGAGGACACCCTGTGACCCTGATTTGGGTCGCGACCTGAGGTTGGGAACTGCTGTCCTGTAGTGATGCCACTGCTGTGCTATACGGCCATCATTAATACCCGTGTTTTGCTGAGTTATCCAGACACAGTATTAGAGTTTGTTAAATAAACAATTTATGGTGGGCCAACATCAATCATGGAAGTAAATTATTTAAAGAATTGTATGCACGAACTCTTGTTTTTGTTGTGTGCTTTATGGATGTTAATGGCGAAGTAGTAAAATTAATATTTTATCTAGTACCGGGAATTCCATGTAAATATTTGTTGCAGTGCTAATCGCATTCTCCTTGGAGTTTGCACAGGTGACTGTCTCGTGACAAGTGAACTACCGGGGTTTATATCAATGTGAATCCATATATTGATTTAGGGTTTCTCAGAGGGAGTAGTAGTCTTCTGTGGCACAGGTAATCCTTGTAGAACAATTTCATTAGACAGTTCGAAGTCTTAATAATGTGTATGTAACCAGGTACAGTAATTGCAGATTTGTAGAAGGTACTTTAATTTATAACTACAGAAGCTGCATAACTTGTCTGATGTGAGGAGGGAATTAGGTGTTGAAGGAGATGAAGTTTAATTCTTCATTGGAAAAATACTAAGTAGAAAACTTAGACCAGTACAGTACCCAAAATGTGCCCATGCAAACAATGGGGCCTCTCACCTCAAAAGATTGTAAATGTTTGCTACATTTGTAATATGCTTAGGACAGAGGTATGTACCTTTACGTATTTGCTGGAGACATGCATTTTACAAGTCCTTCCAGAAGTTTTAAGTACTTAACCTGTTCATAAATCTGTGAAATGAACGGTGCGGGCTAGCAGAATTACTAAGAGCTGCTGTCTTGTGTGAAGGTTTTATAAGTTGTCACCTTTTTTCGCCCCACATGTGTAAGGCAGGATTTCTTCTAAAATTTTTGTTGGGTATTCAATATTTTCAGTTGATCCGATTTTAATATTAACTGCTACAGGAAAGTTTGAAAGGGAGTTTGGGACTTTTTCCCAATAATATGGGACTTTTTCCCAATAATATCCATGTATGATAATTATTTTTATCTCTTGTTAAGAGTATTGTACATTAATTAATATTGACATACAGTATAGGGTATGTTCTCTCTTGTCTTACTATAGCACTACATTACTGTGAGTTTCATAGTGTAGCCATAGTGATTGCTTGTCACAATTTATTGGTAACTTGTAAGATGTGTACGATCTTAGTCACAAACTGATGTTAGAGACTATTGTGCCGAGTGATTTAACTGAAAGCTACATCATACCTTCTGTGTTAAACATTGGAGCTGTGATGGTTTGTAGTCAACTGCCTGCTTACTGCTTTGATGAAATGTAAATTTTTGGTGCTGTAATATGACTTGTCATGGTCACGGAAACTTAAAAACTTCTTGCATGTGCAAGATGGTTTATAGGTACCTGTATAGAGTTATGAGCTTTGATCAGTCATATTTACTGATTATGAATCATTTTTTGCAGTACTGCACCATTTTTATTTGGCTAGTACGTACTGGATTACCTTGTGCTTTATTTTATGCCTTTTTTTATGAAGTCGTGTTTTACTGACAGTAATCCAGTAAACTATACTTCCGGTATTCAAACAGCTAACATCCCTGAATTTCGTTTATTGTTAATTTTTTCAACTGTTGCATTTTGTAGTACGTACAGTACTGTACTGGTATATTCACTGTCAGATGCTTTTCATTATGGTATTTGTAACTTAGTACAGTACAGCTAGGTACACTTGTACAACGAGAGAATAATGCTGTATGTCCAGATATGTGATTTCTTTAAGTTGATTATCTTACTGATTAATGCTGCAGGATGTTTTGAGTAAAGAATAATTTACCGTGTGTCCAATCTGTTGGAATAACGAGTGTTTTGGTTCTTATCCACAGAGGTGAAAATGCAGGACACAGGGTGCTGTACTTAAAGGTGCAGTATATATTTTAAATTTTTATGTAATTGATGTTTACGTACTTCTGTAATCATCTTGTGGGGTAAGAATACAACATAGCATGGCTGTTGGAGAATGTTTGGGGTATGGTTATTAAAGGGATGTACAGTACAGAATAGTAATTGAACAAAAAAGAATCTGTATTGGTAAAGCAGTTAAAGAGGTTGCATGACCAAGGCTTTAATTGATATCTATCAAAGTAGCTGGTGCAGTGAAGCAGGCAGTGCGAGAATTTTGTCAACTTCAGTGTTTGTCATTAGTTTGACCAAAATAGTTTATAATTTAAGTACAGAAAAACAATTTACAGTACAGTACTGTATGCTACAGTATTGAGTTTTTTAAGTGAATGAAAGAAATTGTGACAAACAGGTAATTGCTGTAGGTAGCAGTAGTATTACTTTATCCCATTATGTGATACTTTGAGAAATTCTTTGGCCACTTCAGGTATTAAAGACACTAGCACAGAACAGTACAGTATACAGGGGGTCCCGGGTTAAGAATGGGTTTTGTTCCTGAGGGCGTTCATAAGTCAGAAATGTACATTAGTCTGAACACGTGCTATGTGCATACCATACTTACAGAACAATGATTAAAATCCCACTAGATCATAGCCTAAGTCCTTATATACAACTGAAATCACTTAATTTAAGAGAAAAGAAGAAATAGAATGACGAAATATAGTAATTGAAAGTAAAAAAAATAATTCATTGGGGTAAATAAAATACCCTGTACTGTAATTTTAAAGTTTAACCTCATTTATATTGGCGTGCATTCTTAAATGGAATTTAACTTCCTGGGGATTCATGGTGTTGGGACAGTACATCCTTTGTACCTTTAGTACTGTTTTCTTATTTGATTTCTGTGTTATTGCACACATTGAAATACAGTTTGTTGTGTATAGTGAAACTATTTACTAAGTTGGGAGTGTATGTGATCGCATCAAAGTGCAGCACCAAGGTTGTATCAGACACCAGCACTGGTGGTTTAGACTTCGCAGTTCTTGTTTTCAGAGATTATTGTGAAGAAAAAGAAATTCCATAATTGTGTTATATTTGTCTTGAGAGCTGTATCACTTACTTGGGTGTCTTGATGAGGTATATACAGTACAGTACTGTATAGTAATTATTCACCATTTTGGACATGTGGAGTACAGTATCTAATAGGAATAAATTTATAGATGTTCTTCCTGGCCCACATGAAGGAGGCATGAGAGCAGTTTAATCTTCAATATGAACTGTCAATTGTGCTTTTTTTTATGCTCCTACTACAGTACTGTTATAAAAGAACAAGTGGTTGTCAGTGCAGTGAGTGCTGGGAATTTTTATGCACAGTACAAGTACAGTATTGCATTCAAAAAATGGCTTTTATGGATACTTGAGATCATTACAGTAATTGTACATATTAAGATTGTTTTTTTTTTATGCATTTTTATGCCATGTGTGCGTTACTCAGACCTAATCTTGGGTCTTATGCAGGCAATTAGATTTTTAAGCGACTGGACTGTACTTGCATTCTTATGCTTAAGATTTAAGAGGTGTATAGCTTTTATACTGAGCTGTGTGTATTATGATTACTGTACAAGAGATTATGGTCAATTTGTCTGTAGGGTGTTATTATTGGTACTTACTGTGAAATGGATAGAAAGTAGGAAAAAATTGGTGTAGGTGTTGTGTAAAAACTATTTAAAGATAGCCATGTGAAGGCTCACTTTGGGTAAGTCTACATGACAACATAGGCCTCAATAAGTTACATCTGGGTCACCACTAATTAACTGGGTGGATAGAGTGGTTCAAGTGCAGTTACTGGTCAAAATCTTGGGTCTCGGCAGCTTTATGATGTAGATTTATCTTATATGGGAATTTTATACAAATTAAAATAATACCTGTACTGTAATCAGCAAAAGTAAATTGAAGTGGAAAAAATTGGGTGAGCACCCTGTAAGGCAGCTGACCAGTTCACGTGTCACATTCTGGTGGCTAGCCAAAACTTTTTCCCATTGCATCTTTGTGTTTACTGTAAAAAGTATTCGAGTTGTTTGTATACTGTACAGTATTAACTTTTTACAGTTGAATATTAAGATGGTTTGCAGCCAGCAGTTGTCTTTTTAGTACGGTACATAGCACCATGGCCACCAGGCAAAATGTCTTGTGCTTTTTGCTGCAGTTGATTTTTAAACTAAACATTGATTCAAGATAAGGATTAGGGTTGTTTTGCTCCACACATTTTCCTTTTTTTATCTGAAGATTTTTGTTGGGTAATTATTGTTGGTCTGAATTATTGGTACAGTATAGTTCATGAGGTGTTTCCTGGGAAAATGAATTGGCAATGAACTGGACCCTTTTCTATGTTTCCCCCATCTGTTACTTATGCTCGTGTTTTCATTAGCTGATGCTGAGGATATTCATAGCGGAACAGAAGTCACTGAAAATATTTATGACATTAAATAAATATGAAAGATCAGCTGCCCTACCATCTGTAGGTATAATGTTGGTTCACGTATTCCTGTTTGATGCTCTTTGTTTCCAGGGATGGATGGACATACATACTGTACTTGGAATGGATGTGAAAAATAAGTTAATTGTTCTCCTTTTTCTGCGACTGGGATTCTTTAGTGTTACAACTGCTTGGGCTTTACTCGCGCTAGATTCTGGTCCTCTTTTTACGGGAAATTATCGACTGTACTTGTATGTTTTCTAGTTTTTACCAGGTTTTCTTGTGTGATCAGTTCACCTTAATTACTTCTCTTTTATCTGTTGACTTGATGCTTGCTCAAATCCCTGCTGCAGCTGCCTCAACAACTACTGTACATTCTTTTGAGTTCAACCATGGTTGCAACATCATCTGGTTCACCTCCATCTTAAGTTTTTTGCATTTCCCAGTTAAAAGATTGTCTTTTGCTCTAGCTTTTTAAAATCTGTACTGCTTTATTTTTTTATCTTGTTCCAATAAAAATTTTGGAAGTATTGTTCACCTATATACAGTACCGTACAATACTGTATTACAGTGTTAACAACTGCTGCAGCTCCAGGGCTCAGTGATTTAACATTCATCTCAAAATCAAATGATCCATGATTGTATTTGTGGTTGGAGTGCAGCCTGACTTCCTTCTTGTACCTCAACCCTTGAATACCCATCAGTAGAGTGGGTACTGTACTGTACACTGTTGGGTACTGTGGCTGATGGTGGAAAAAACCCATAATGACTGAGCATTGTAAGGGATGTGGTAACCTGTTTGATGCCGAGTATTAAAAATGGCCAAACCCTGTCTGGCCTCCCTGTGACCTAGCAGGAATATACAGTACAGTGCTTTGTAGGCTTATGAGGTGAACAAATAAAACCAAGTACCGGTACACCAAAGAACTTGGTTAATTTGTATCTTGTACAAACAGTTTTAATTATTTTGTGCTGTTTGTTTATAAGAATAGTTAATTTGGAGAGACAGTATCATTCAGCATGGTCTTGTTCTTGGAGAACATATTTAAATTCTGCTTCCTCAAGAATCTGCAGTGTTTTAGATTTAATTTATAGAACCTGTCAATATCTGAGTGTGATTATGGGAGTTTAGGTGATCTATGTGTGTGCTCCTGCTACTCATACTGTCATTGTCTGAAGGCCTATTGCATCATATTGTTTGCTGAGAGAGACTGGGAATTTTTTAAATTAGGAAATTCGACCCAAATGATGACTTCCTTGAAGATACCAAATGATAGTAAGAAGGTATTAATAACATGCAAAAAGTTGAACTGTTACAAAAACTTGACAAGGGTGTTTCAACATACAGTACTGAACAGCATGAAGTTGGAAACTGCAAAATGAAGAGGCAGTGTAACAAGTCATTGAAATTCTGTGCTGACAGTGAAACAAACAAGGGGATTGCCAAGTGAAGGGGTTCCTATTTGTGATCTCTGTTGACAATTCGAGACAGTTACCAGTAAACCAGAATTTGAAAAGATGTCATACATTGCGTAATGGTGATACACACATACCCATAACCTCACACCTCATAGTAAAACACTTACCATGATTGGTTATATTTTATTACATATTCTTGCATTTATTTGTTCTGTATCTTTATACTTATTATTGATGAATACTGTACTGTACCTCTGATGTGCAAAAGTTCACTCCTGTATGTAAATATTAGTTAACTGCATACTGCTTGGTCCTAAGGTTTTCACTTCATATATATATATATATATATATATATATATATATATATATATATATATATATATATATATATGGGTGATAAAATTAGAGTATTGACAATTTATGTAAGGATTTTTTTATTGCATGTCATGTTTCATAAGCAAGGTAGATCCTAACAGAGTATGTGACTCTGTCTTCAGGGCTTGGTGGTCCAGGTGCGCGGGAGCCGTGGGACGGAAGGATTATGGCTGAACAGCAGTTCTGCCTACGGTGGAACAACTTCCAGGCCAATATTGTATCATCATTTGAAGCTCTACTAGATAGAGAAGAATTTGTAGACGTTACACTCACAGCAGAGGGAAAATCGTTGAAAGCACACAGGGTTCTCCTATCAGCATGCAGCCCATACTTCAGAGACTTGTTCCGGGTGAGTCTCTCACTGTCATAGTCTTGCAATTGATTTATAATATTTTCTTTTAACTTCAAGTTAGTGTAATATTGTTCAGTATTGTACTGTTTTTAAAGTTTATTTTCTTACTTCAGGTTCATATAATATTTTCACAGCAGTTTTTTTTTGGATAGTTCATGATTGCAAGATAGTTGAACATCATTTTTTAACAGTGCAAATTTTAACACTAATTTTGTTTTATGTTGTTTCCCCAGGATTTACCTGCCCATCAGCATCCAGTCATAGTGTTGCGTGATACAAGTTTTTTAGAGTTAAAATCCCTATTGAGCTTCATATACCATGGAGAAGTTAACGTATCTCAAGAAAGATTGGGGCTCCTTCTCAAAACAGCTGAGGCCCTCAGAATTAAAGGACTTGCTCAAGACAAGAGATCTAGTGATATTGAACAGGTAAGCAAAGCTTTTCATAATTATTTGAGGGTTTTAGTGTTCCTAATTATTTGAGGGATGATCTTTTCTGTTATTTATAATTTCTGGATAGGTTCCCAGGTCTTCTTTACCAGGAACATTCAATAGTCACATGTATTTTGTTTGATCTTGTCTAGACACGTGCAAAAAATTTATTAATAGAATGACTGAAACAAAAAGTAAAATGCTTGCCATCCTTTAACAGTAAATCATTTACTGTACTAAGTTCAGATATGAAGTGTTTCATACATAAATACTAAGGAAATCAAGAAACATTTGTAAGAGGCACTTACGAATAATTTTTCAAAGTATTGAATAAAGTTCAGAATGCAGGAGTGATGTGCTGTTAGATGAGAATTTTAGATTTAAATACTGTACTCAATACTTTTTGAAGGTGGTATGGTTAATATTATGGGCATAAAGTGGACCGTTCATGTAATTTTTGCCTTTGATCAAGTTCTTTCCTCGGTAAAAGTTGGAATAACTTAGTTATTCCATCTTATTCAAAATGGTTTACAATAACTATGCTTGCTAAATATCCAAGCCAACCTGGAAGATTGTGTTGAAAATTTTTATGCCGTCAGATTTTTGTGGGATTTTTATGAAGCTCACTGAATACATTACCAATCATGATCTACTCACTGCCTCAGGGAACTTAGACAAACTAGATCATAGTTAATTGTGTAGATATCATTGGCAACAAATATGGGCAGTCTCTTAATTATGAAAGTTACTTTCATGAACCCTGTTTGTAGGTCTATTTGTTTGCGAGTTGAGCTTTACTGTTATAACCCTTTCCTGTTCGTTCTTGACCTGAGCATACCTGATTTCTGTAAAGTCTTTCGTGTCTATTTGCATATTTTATGAGTGATTTCACCTCTTGCATAAGTGTTGCAATTGCTTCATAATTGCACCATTATCACCAGCACAGCTCTTTTGTTTCTTAGTCTAAAATGTTTAGAAAAAAGTATATTAAAGTAGCGGAAAACAGTGAGGCACGCCTTGCGGTTGCAAGGCAAGTAGTTAGGTCGTGTGTGCACAATTAACTGAAAAAAAAACATTGAATTAGCAGCGAGTAGGGGGTGTTGCAGTATATCAGTAAATCACAAAATGCCAGGCTGTGTACTGAAAATTTAGAACTTGTGAAATAATCATGGGATAATGCTATGGAGATATTTGTCAGTAAGTTGTTCATGAGGCTTGGGAGGGGGCATACACTAGGCAGTATGGGATCAGTTTAATTAGGACTTATAAATATTTGTAAAGTTTGAAGTGATCAGGAAGAACTATAAGCAGGATGAGTCTGACTTGTATACTGCACTAAGTGAAAGATGAGGGGAAGAGTCATTGTTTGTAATAATTGATTAGTTACTGAAGAAAGTTATATACTGTACTAATAAAACCATGTGGATAAAACCTTATGAGAGATAAACATGATGGAGGACTAGAAAACTGTCATAGTTATCCCACCATTTAGTGAGCATGGTGTAGAATGCTTCCTCATGACTCGCACGAGGTTAATATACTTTCCCTCATTCCTTTCAAGTCTCATACTGTACAACAATTGAGTGTGGTGAGGTTAAATGCTGGAAACTGATGAATGCATGCAGTATTTTGGGATGCACAGTATGTAAATGTGAATTAGTGAAAAATAAAAGTTCCCAGTATTGAGAATATTGTGAGCAATGTAAGTTAGAGGTAGAAATGGCAGCTGTTGACAGATTTATCATACTACTGTACCAGGATATGAAAGGAAATATGATTAAAAGCATCCACCATTACAGGAAAGAAAATACATAATGAAAAGTTGTATAGGCATTGAAATTTGTGTGCCTAAATGTCTTCATGTCTGTGTTTGGGAATTAAGATATATGGACTAGTTCATTGTCACATACTTTTGGGTCGGGTGAGGGATAAGGGTTGTTAGAATTAGTCTGTTAAATTTTGTAATTTGATTGTTGGAAGTGTATTTTGTGCAAGAATAATTACAGTATCTTGTGATACTGATGCGGCTGTGCACAAAATTTTATACCATTGTTCATGAACAAGAAAATGACCGACTTCTTTTTTCTGTCCTCAGTTTGGGAGCCTTACCAGTAGTCCTGAGAAGGAGCCAGAAGAGGGCCTGGACAGAGGGGAGCGCCGTGGAGGGGGTCCTGGGTCCCCTGCACTAAGTCTTGCCTTCTCTGGGGTGGGCGGGTCAGTCCTGGCCCCCGTCAATCCTCTCGTTCCCCTGGAGCCACCAAGCCACAAGCCACCACACCTTTTGCACTCACCACCAGCAAAGCGACGTAAACCCCTCCATTCACCACTTGGAGGGCCCCATATACCCACTCCACCACCACAACGAGATAATTCTATTTCACAAGTGCAACCTGTTACCTCCACTGCCTCACTTGATGATGATAAGTCTAGAGTTATCAACTTGACTATGGGTGCCTGCAACTCTGGCAGTGGAGGTTCACCATCCCCCAGGCTAGTACCCAAGACGGAGTTAAATTTATCTGAGGAGGATGGACCAGGTAGAGGCAGCAGTGGTGGTGGTGGGGGGGAGGGCAGTAGTGACCATGAGGTTGAGGAGCCACATGAAGATGACTCTGTAGACCATGATTTGTCTAATACCACGGCTCCAGACCTGCATGGACTGCCACAACACCTCTCAGCAGCAGTACAAAACTTTGTGCCATATGCAGCAGCAGCCGCAGCAGCAGCAGGATCCTCGCAGCTGGAGACCTTCCCGGGGCCATCAGGTGAGTACAGATTTCTGTGTTACCATCATCCGGGGTAATGTTGGTACAGGTAGTCTCAGTTTTTTATTAATTTTTTTTAGCTCAATACCGTAGTTAAAAAAATTTGGTAGTGATGTGAAAACATAAAAGAGACTTATTTTTAATCAAGTTAAAGATGTATGAGATGCTATCTCTGATGATGGTTCTTACTGTATTTATTAATTTACTGAACATTGGTGCTAACATAGCATGCTTATCTGAGAAGATATGATTTTGAAAATAACTCGAGAAATACAAGTGATTTAAGTCCCAGTGCCATCCCCCAAGTGACTCGTTTATCACAGCAACAAGTCTGTGGGTTAGGGTGCTTCTGTAGCCAATAGCGAGTGGGATTACAGTAATTCAGTAAAAAATTAGGCTTTTGAGTCACAACTCAATCCCTACAAGGAATCTTGAGAACCATGTCACCATTTGAGGTGAGCAATGACCTTGAATTGTAGGCTCAATCCTCCAGTTCCACACATGACTCCACACCTGGAAGGTTCACTGACTCTTGTACCTGTCCTGTGATGGAACTTAGAGATTAAAGTTGTGTCTGCCCTTATAGTACTTTAAATACATGTGTTGTAAGGTGGTTCAGTGACAGTTTACTTTGTTTTGTGTTAATTGAAAGGGTTTTATCGTTGTTTTCATTATTTTGCAAGTTGTATGAGTTGGCAGACAATCCAGTTTGAGGCAATTTTGTCTTTGTTGCTCTCATGTTGCAAGAGTTTAGATTTGCAAATACCTGGTATTTAATTGACCTGTTGTATGGTTGTGTGGAGCCTACACACCAGATACTGTACAATATCTGCTTGGGATTGTTACCCAATTTTATAGTGCGGTAACTCTGTGGTACAACAGTATTTTTTCCAGGCATGGTCTGCCCATAGGAATTGTATATCTGTAGACATGTGGCCTCAGAACACATGGTTTCCTCACTTCTGCAAACACTTGGTACTGTATTTCAAAATGAAGTTAATTTATAATACTGTACAGTAGATAGAGTACTGTCTTTTTAAACTAAACCAATGGAGGTTGTTGACCTACCCTCTCACCGTTGATTGGTCAATTCACATCTTTCTTTACTTGTCTTTTTATTATTGGTGTAGTCCCTATACTGTACAGGTACTGGGGTTATACATGAGGTTTGTAACATGCTGGAGACAACCACAAATTGTTAGCTTCCTGACATTTGTTGCTCTAACTGCTTTGATGTTTGTAGAATACCTGTGCTTGTAATGGATTACAGTACTTGAGTCAGTTGTTCTGGTCCTTAACTAGGTCAGGGTTCTGTATCTGACCTGATGCCCATTTGCCATTGAAAGTTCTGAATGTATCATGATTTGGAAGCATATGAGAGGGACTTTTTCCAGTCTGTTGCCTTCTGAAAGAGCTGTCAATTCAAACCATTTGGAAAGTGATATTAGAACATAAAGGGTGTGGGTCCAGCAGTCAACTAGAGAATACCTGTACTTGTTGGGACATTTGTGGTTAGCTTCATGTATGAATGGCAAATGTTTCATTCAAAGGACAAAAATCCTAAAGTCATCAGCTTTGATTCCTTTTCTCAAAGAGGCAATTGTATGAATTGCTTTCTTGAATAGGGTATGGGGTGTTAATTTTGATGGTATAAAGTGAAGGCCTCGGCCTTTGTAAACAAGGTCTTAGTTTCAGGCCTTGTAGAAAGGAGTATTCTAGCAGTCAGGTAGACCAATACATCGACTTAAAGGATGCTATTGATTATTTAGTCAATTACTTAGATGGTTGATATTTTTTAATGACTTTTGTGGTTGTCTTTATCCGCTGATCCTCTCATCCTCTTGTGAACAAGTAGAAAAGGGAGTTTTTTCTCCTTGACATGGGTGTATTGGTTCACTGGGTCCTCTGACCACAGGGGAATTAATTTTATTGTGGTGTTGGTAGTGTATTAGTCCAACCTAACATTACCAGATTCAGAGGAAGTTGAGGTGTTCCCTTAGTAAGTGGGTGGAGCAGTGTACAGTACTGTGCACATTCTGGTGTACTATTGTTGGGGTGAGGGTTAGAGTGAACTCCAATACTGTGGTGCATGTCACATATCACTTGGAGTACTTAGTGTCAACTCCCACTATTAGGTGTGTGTGTTGCTTGGCTGGGGGAGTTGTTTATAGATGAAGGATTAATTCTTGTACTCAACTGCATGACTTGGGTTCCTCCTTCCTTTGGGTAGCATGGTCATCCCAGTTGACGGTGAGGTGTGCACAGGCCAGTGTGATGTCATGAGTGTTTTCTGTCTCAAGTGGTGACATTTCTAAAGGTTCCTTTTTAGGGGGGACTTGGTTGTGATAGAAAAAAATATCTAATTAATGAATTGGTCACAGCCAATAATGTCTACTGGTGTACCTAGACTTGCTGTTATGATATAGCACTAAGGTCCTTTAGTACTGTAATGGCCATCGTACAAGGGAGGGGGGAATAAGAGACAGTCGTTTCCTATTAAAAGCATGAAGTCTTATAATAATCAGCAATAATCTGTACAGTATAACTAAAGGGGATGAAACTTGTTGTGAAGTTATTATTTTAAGAGTAAACAGAGTACAGTATACTATATAAAGCTAAGAATTATACACAGTTTTGGGGAAGAGATTTTTCCCCATGTTCTCTGAAATGTAAGGATTGTATTTAGTCATTCCTGTGTCCTTCTGTCTCTCCTTGTTCTATATGTCATGTCCAATCATTAATTTGTTAACCAATGGAGGAATTCAAATTAACCACTCGGAGTGTGTATGGCGATGAAAGGCCGAGTCGTAAAGTCACAAGTACCTGTAATTGTAAAGGTTAAGAGCATCGGTTGGCTTCATTCATAACTTATTGCTGTTAGTTGTTGTAAGCTGTGGCAGTACAGTATTGACACTAACACCATTTTCTTACTCAAACATGAAGACAAAAATATCTCAAGATCTATACGATCTGATTTTAAATGGCAGTTGTTTATTAAAAATTATTTGAACCAACCAAACTTCCTGAGCATAATGATGTGGGAAACTTTAGGTAGGTTTAATTTTGAATTACATGTTATACTTGATAAGTGTCATGTGACACTAAGAAATCAAGCCCAATGCTTTGGCAAATTCAAAACAAGGGTGCAAGTATGGACAAATGGGCCTGTGCAGTATAACATACCCGGTATATGCTAGGACAAACCAAACAGGGTGCTGTACAGTATCTGTAGCAAGTACAGTATGTACAGTAATTAAGTTTTCCCCCCAAATAATTAAATTTTCCAATGCACATTTCTGTGATTGTGAATTTTACATTCCGTAGAAACCTGTTCCTTGAGCTAGAATCTGTTTTGGTTAATTTCCGTACAAGGGGGTCCCCCAAGTTCGCGGGGGTTGGGTTCTCAAAATGGCAGCGAATCGCCAAATTTGTGAATAACTTTTGCAGACCTGGGGGGGGGGGGTTACATTTTTACTTGTGTACAAAGAAATGTATATTCCCTTTGTGTTTGCCCTTAGGACAATAATTTATTTTACCTGCAATAATAATAATAAACGGTTTATTAATAGAGTTGCAGCCGGTGGCTGAAAATATACAAACTTTCATTTGATTTAGACATAATGATATGCGTTGAATACATTTACAGGGCTGTACAGTACATAAATCAGGAGTTGTTTATTATTTTAACAATAGATGGGATGGTGCTGGTATTGTGTGTGTGTGTGTGCACAACACATACAAATAAATAATAATGGGAAATACTCTCACAAATAATAAAAAACAGTTTATTAAAAATGTGAGTCTACCCACAAGTCTGTGCTTTATTAATAAAGCATGGACTTAAGGGTAGACTCGCATTTTTAATAAATTTGTTTTTTTTATTATTTGTGAGAGTATTTCCCATTATTACTTATTTGTATGTGTTGTGCACACACACACACACACACACACATACATATATATTTACAATACGTACAGGTAAAGGAAATTACTGGCTCTAGATCGAAAGGCTCCTTGTCTCAGCCTCGAAAATGCTGGCAACTTTAAAACTACCCGCAGACATTCTTGGGTACATCCAGGGTGTCATCCGCGAATAATAGAGGACCACGGAATAAAAATCTGCAAACTTGGGGGGGGGGGGGCTGTACTGTGAATTTGAGTAAGCTCAGATGACTATACCGTATGGACAGGTTGAACGTCACACCACAGGTGTCAACTGACTGATTGGTGATAGTAACTCCTGGTCATTGCCCACTAGACTGGAGGAATATTGAAAAAATATATACCCTGTATGTATAAAAATAATAATATAAACTGATCTACAGTATGCCATCAAAGTTGAGGGCATAAAATAAACAAAAAATCACTGTGATGGCTTCTGGAAGCTGGGAATGGGACAACTGGCCGCCGCCATCTGGCCGCAGCCCAACTGGCCGCGGGAAACTCGCCGCGGCCGACTGGCCGCCGCGGACTGGGGGTAAACTGCAAACGCCTAATTTTGCGCTCTCAAGGCAGCTCCTTAAACCCCCACCAGCGAACGATTGATTCGCGAATGATTAAAAACAAGTCAATTCTGAATTCAACATACAAAAAAACAGTAAAACTATGTACTAAAAAATAAAATAAGAGAAAAAGATAATAGAACTGATTCTTGTATTCTGTATTCAGTCCTGAAGATGTAATATACGAAAGCGCTTGACACTTCGTATTTTCCTTTTCCTGGTGGTTATTCCTGCATATATATATATAATCATTCTGGATGTTTCTGAGACTCGCAACAAAACTATTATATTCCTCAATCATATTTCTATTAATAATCTGAGAATGGTCATAACCCAACCCTGTCTGTTCCCCCATCTATGACCTCATCCTGGGTTAATCCACTACCTGCGATTAGACCTGTCCTATGGCAATTTGTAATCCCTTCCCAGACCTCAGCTGACAGCTGAGGTCTTAATCCTTCAAAATCTGCTGCTCTAAAATAAAGAACATTTTTTTAATTCTCAGCGAATCTGTCACAGCGAGGGAAAGGAAAGTTTACAAGCGATGGATATATCTATATTTTTGACAAAGTCGGTGCTGATCAAGTCACAGAATTTTGGAGATGTGAAAAGAGGCGGCAGTGCAAAGCAAGAGTTCATGTAAAGGATGGAGAAATTGTCAAATTTATCAGTGTTCATTCACACGCAGCTGACGCAGCTCAAGTGGTAAAGCAAGAAACTATTACGAAGTTAAAATCTCGGGCTGCTGAAACGGTGGAACAAACTAATCAAGTTATCAACGAATGTGTAGGAAATCTGACACAAGCATGTCAAGGAGTCCTGCCCACTCACGGTGCTCTACGCAAACTTGTGCGAAGGAAAAGAAAGGAGGTCAGAGCATATCCTGCTAATCCTACTAATCTAGAAAACCAACAATAATTTTACTAACAACATAACTTTTCATAGATTTTTGCATATGTATCTTTTATTATTTTATTCCAATAAAGTACTTCATAAAGAAATTTTAATCCTCTTTTTTTTTATCACACTTTCATCAATTTTGTCAACAAAAAGTTCCATATGGCGGCCAGTCGGCCGCGGCGAGTTTCCCGCGGCCAGTTGGGCTGCGGCCAGATGGCGGCGGCCAGTTGTCCTAGACCCCACTGCCAGATTATTCTTCATCCTCATCTATGATTCCTCTAAGAGTCACTAGTTAGATCTTAAGGAAAGTCACTATCTTCACTTATATCATTGTTACTGTGCAGGGGAGGGTCATCCTTGTCTCCAGAAATGTAATGGTGTCAGTTTCCTCCTGTGTGGGGCACCACACACGAGCAGATGCTGTGCATATTGAATCGGTCATGGTCCATCCATTACTAATGAGCGAGAGGCCTACTGTCTGGGGAAGTTGCTTCTAGCCTCCATAAGGATGTTTAGCAAATAAATACAAAACATGGAGTAAAGTAATGTAGAACAGAAAAAGAAGTAAGTCTTCATCTACAACATTAGTGTAGATAGGATGTACAGTACAGTTTAGTACAGTACCTAGATGAAGCAGGTAGAGAAATACTTATTACAGTAGTCGTCACCTGACCTCACAGTTACTTGTCTTACTCTTCGTACATTGACATTAACTTGTTAAAAAACTATGTAGCTATAGTCGTCTTTAAGGTAAACTTAACACTACTCTAGGTCATGGTGTATCGATTGAAGGGGTAACTACTAAAAAGTTGTCATATTTTCCACATAAGACCCCCCCAACCACCACCAATGTGTTCATGGTTCACCCTGTTTGCACCACCATCATTGTGTATAAGAACAGCAGGATGCATTGTAGAACAAACACTTCATTGACAATAATAACGCTAGTATACTGTATTAAAACCATGATACAGGATACTGTATATGATTGTTTTAATATAATTTTGGAATCTTAACAAGTTTTTCTGTCAGAATGAGTGAGTAAGCAGTAGGGCATGGAATGTAAGTCTGGGAAAAACACAACTATACAGTAGGCACCTGTGTCCCAGTAATCAGAGAGACAACAAAGGGAGAGATAGAAAAAAAATAACCTGGTTCCATGAATTAACATACCTATACAGGTATTCAAAGCCTTGAGAAAATTATTAACATGATAAAAGGTGATAGGAATGCCAGTGTGAGTTGGAGATTACTGACAGAGACATCAGTTGATTAACTCCTGTAAAAGATACTCTTTCCTTGCTAATGTATTTTTAACACAAATCATACAATTCATATGTATACAGTAGTGTAGGAGAAGAAATGAAGTGAAAATTCATATAGAATAGGTAGTGCTGTAGTAGTTAGACGTAAATGATGTTAATGGTGACGAGGAATGATAGCAGGATGTGGTAAGCAGAGAGTAACCTTCCGTACGATTAGAAGTGTGAGTTAGACGGCACAGTAAAAGGCTATATTGTCATGTACTGTATACAAGCTCCGCTGACGTCAGTACCAGGACTTGGGGTAAAGCAGAGGAGTTCCATCCACTGTAGAAGAAAATGAGTAATGAACAAAAAAGAGCATGACGGTAAAGGAGGCAGTGGCAAGGAAGAAATATTGGAGTAAAGGGTTAGTCAAGGAGGTGGAGAGAGAAGTAAAAAGAGGAGGGAAAATAATTATAGATGTAGAAAAATACAGAGGGAAGAACATTTGTGGAAACAAAAGAGAAGGAGAAGAGGGAAGAAATGTAGGTACAGTAACTGAAGAGATGTGTCTGGTGATGGAGAAAGAAAGAGGGAAAACTGATGTGTAGGATGAAATACCAAGGAAGGAGATGAATATTTTCTACAAAGATAAGAATTAGGGGAAGGCATCGGGGAGTGGATGGTGTTAGGGCGGAAGTGTTAACCCTTTCCCGCTGATTGTTGCACTTTATTCTCAATACTACCAGATGAGAATATCAAATGGTATAGAAAACATGGAGAGTTACTTGAAGACTGAATGAAGGCAACTCATTTTAGTACATTTGTATGGCTGGAATAGCAAGCTAGTGAAAAGGAATGCAATAATGGAAGTGAAGTCAGTCTGCTTAGTACAGTATATTGTATGAGGAAAAGTGTATGGTATACAGTAATGGGTTAAGAGGTGAAGAATATGTTGGATTTAGGATAAGTAGGGGATGTGTGTGTGTTTAGTAGTGGAATTGTTCCCAAAAGAATTACCAGACATTGAAAATTTAACCTCATAGACTGAAGGAGACATTTCATATGGTGGATTGGTAGGTTCTTTAGGAGATGAGGATTTATAGAGGAAGACGAAAACTTCTTGGTGCTGTATGTATAAGAACAGTTAGGCATCTTTATGGGTGGTGATTAGGGGGTGGACTTCACATAGAGCTCCGAGGTGGGGTTGAGAGTGAGTTTGTGTTGTGTAATATTTCCCTGGGTGTTTTACCATAGGCAGGGTAGTACAATATGGAGAGAGGAGTGTGGGTGTCTGGGGCGGGAACATAGTTGATACTTGATCCTGGAATGTGTCTGCTGGTAGGTAATACTGTATGGTGTAATGTAGGACCTTTTGTGCTGGGGAGTAGGGAGTGTTGAAGTTTGATAGGATGTACAATAGAAGGAAATTAAAGGTAAGTGCCGTTCACAGAATGGGTAAACTTAGATAGAAATGGAGGAAAAGGTGATTTAAAATTTAGATTCATGGTGAAGAATGATGTACTACTAGCAGAGGTTTGGGAATTACAATGTTTAGATGTAGTGTAAAAAACTGCTGGAGTCAAGTCAGGGAAGTATTCATTGGAGGCTGTTTGTGTTCTGCATACTTATTTACCTTATATTTCTGATAGATGTAAACCCAATTTAAAAACAAGACTCGGCAAAAAAGCAGTGATAATATATACTGTATACAGTAATTGCAAACAAGAATAACAAGTGTCATAATACAAGTTGAGAGCCCCGCCTCTGTCAAGGGAATATCTCCTGCTCTGGTATAAATCATAATTGTCTGCACCGTTTCCTGAGAGTAATGTAGTTGTATTGATATGAAGCAAAGTTAATTTTATTGTGCAATTAACCATATAAAATTAGCCCGAACAAAAACTAGAGCAAAGATACTTTTATAATGTGCCTGTGGGTTTCAAATCCGAGATAATCAGTTTATATTCCCCCCCCCCCCTTTCCCATCACGATAGAATTAAAGCACATACTGTACTGCACTTCACTGTAAGGTGTCTGACATTTGCACCGGTAGTTGATGATGTCACTAGAGGGAATACATATAGATTGATTAGTCCCATCTATTTTCTGATATTTTAACATCCACTAAGTCCAACAAACCATTTTGAAGCAAATGCTCCAATGTTGTATAAGTTGTGTGAACAAGTGGTGATTTGTGAAACATCCTTTTACTGTGGCAAGTAAGAAGTGGTTATTTGTCACCACATGCTTCAACAAGTGGACAGAATAGTAAGGAGCATGTACAGTAATGATTAATATTTAACAAATTTGAAATTCTGAAACTAAAGGACTCAGATTTGCTGTGAGTACATTCCAGGAAAAACCAATGAAAATTTTGAGAAACAGACAATTTGTTTAAGTTTTATGATAATAGCTTCTACGACATTTGTACAGTATGCAGAAAGCTTTGTATATGACAAGAGATAAAGGCAGTTGATGAAGTGTTGTAGGAATGTTACAAGCAAAAACAGTGAAAGTAAGGTGATTGTATAGTTGTGGAAATGTGTTTCTACACTCCGTGGTAAATCGTGCCTCCAAATGGCACCGTTGCAGTAGTAATATCACTATTTATGAATGAATGGGCATTGGTCTTGTAACGGTGGGCGTGATTGGTGGAAATGTTTGCACTAGGTCATATGGGTTGACCGTTTGGAGACAGGTTACCACAGGAGGTGTAGGAACACATTTCCACAACTGTACCATGATGGATGATAAGTGAAAAGGCCAAAGACTTGAACAAGAAAAATAGTACAGTATTAAGGAATGCTGGTACTGTACTGTACAATATTCAGATGGTTGGCTAAGAAACTTTATAATTGTTTTGATGTATTATTTGGTGTGATACCATCAGTGGTGAGGAAAATTCAGCTGACTTGTGATAGTGTTGAGATTATAAAGGCACAGTTCAAAAAGTGTGGCAAAATAAATTAACTGTTGATCAAGTACAGTACAGTATATATTACAGACGAGACTTGACTGTTCTGACAGATGTTTTTCTCGTCTCTTGTGGCCCATAGTGAGAAAAGTGACCCTGCCGTGAGATTCATGTGAGACAAAGAAAAGGTGGCTGTTGTCCCTGTGCCAATACCTCTGGGTCACATAGATGCAAGTTATTAGGGGGGTAACTATGCTGTGTTATCCGACTTTTATTATGACTTATTTGTGGGTAGGGGGCTGTAACTATGCTCTGTTCCCCGACATTTTTTGACTGGGCTACAGTGCTTGAGGATTCCTTGAGGCCGGAAAATAGGTGTATGACTGTACGTTGGGGTAGAGGGAGACCACTTGTGTCATGACTGACTACCAGGGGTGTGGCACATTCAGGAGGGATAACGGAAAATAGGAAGGGTTAAAGAGGTACAGAGTGGTAGGGTGGGCCTGGTGGCACTTCTGTCATGGTTCGGTAGTTAAGATGAATAAATGGCATACAGTACAGTATTGATATTATAGGTTAGGTTAGGTGTCAGTTGGCCCAGGCTCGGTTAGGTTAGGTGAGATGAGGTGTCAGTTTCCCCCAGGTTGGGTTAGGTGTGGTGTCAGTTTGCCTAAGAAATTATAATAAAATTGAAGAAACATGATACTGTATCCCCAGAGTAGGGCGTCATGAAAGAAATGACGAGTCACCACAGGCAAATATTAAAAAGGAAAGTGAGAAGAATGGTTGTGCGAAAGCAAAGTTTGAGTAGGTGGCTTTTAAGCATTGAGGTAATCACAAGGTATTAACAAGAATAATTTGCTGTGTTGGAGGGAATGAGGAAGTACAAGATGCTGTGTTGGAGGGAATGAGGAAGTACAAGATGCTGTGTTGGAGGGAATGAGGA